TGGAGTTTGTCATTTTTAGTACTGTAGGGAGAGTTGGGGACCATCACCTGAATGAAATCCAAACTGTCTCCATCCCACTGAGACTTTTTTTGTCAAAGTGGTACTCTCTGGATAGCTGTGTTATCTGCAACATTGAGCTCAGACTTCCATAAGACTTGTTTATGTCTGTGCAGAACAGCCACAAGATTGAGTCTGGCTTGCCTCATTTTTGGCCATAGAATGGTGTTATTCCTACAAAAGCATGAGAATGAACTTTCTGATATACAGCTCTTACAATGGTATTTGAAGAAAGTTTTGATTGATTGATTAAGTGCCATCAAGGCATTGCCGACTCTTAGTGACCACATAGATGGATTTTCTCCATGACAATCTGTCCCTAACCTAGTCTTTCAGGTCTTCCAACAATGCACTTATCACCACTGTAACTGAGTCCATCCACCTTGCTGCTGGTCATCCTCTTCTTCTCTTAGGACCACATTTATCAGCTTTGACAATTCTGGTAGTAATTGTTGGAGGTGGCTTCCTTTTCCCCTATTACTACATACTGCAAAAATACTGGCAGGAACAGAAACTGGTTCTTTCTTTACCTCAGGGATCAGCAAAATGGTGACCATGGGAACCAACTTGCTCAAGACACCCCTAGTTAACATCCTCAGAGCCCAAAAATAAAATTTAAAATTAAATGTATTTGAGAGACAAAGCTAATTGAGAGCTAATGGGACAAAAACTATGGGGACACTGGGGGCACTACTCAGTCTTGGTAGAAGCAGTGACTTATCCAGGAGTTGAATGTCCCTGAATTCATCCTTCTATGAGAGATGGAGGGTTATTTGAGGACAATGGAAGCTGACCAATCTCATGTTCTAGATAAACACCTGTGCAGAAAAATGCACAGGAGAAAAACACATTCTAAAACCAAGGACGGAAGGAACAACAATGACTCCAGCCCTTTAATTGTCCAATTATGCTTCCATAATCTGGTTTTACTTCACTATAAAAATATAATCATCAATTGAAATAGGAATGAAACTGCATTTTGTTTCTTTTTTAATTTACATGGTTTTCTTCGCTAATGCTAGGGAAGCAGCTGGAGTGAGGCATCAGCTTCGTGTGATTGTGTCCACTGGAGAGCATAAAAAGGCAACAGAATAGAACAGAAGCTGCAGTACAAACAGAGCAAGCTGATGAAGTAAAAAATTAAAATTCAAAAGGTGCTGGACTGGGAAATTGTCTTGAGAATATTATATTCAATTATTGAGTTTAGTTACATTAACAATTCTGACTGACCTAAGAGGCCCTTCAGATTGTATTTATCTCAATGGGATGCAAGTAAGGGATTTACATATTTCATTAAAAAAACACGCCCTTTTGTACTTGAAGAAAAATGGAGAGATGAGCATGTATGAGTCATTAAGCTTTTAGGTGATATAGTAATCTCCTGTCATATGCTCCTGTAATTTCCATTACCACACAGGGAAAAAAAAATCCCCAGGTACAAAGCATATGGCATTTGATCTACATAATATTAGCAAGGTGCACAAACAGAAACTCTTGCAGTTTTAAAAATACTAAGCATATTAGCATGTCAGTTTAAGTGCAAATCTAATTGTAAAGCTGAATTTGGGTTTGCGCATTCTGGCAAATGGAATGTAGACATGCAGAACACAGAGCAAAGAATTCCGTATATATTTACGGTGGTGCTTCACAAATCCTTGTTCTTCAACATTTTAGTTCAAATGGGATCCGGTTGTCTTTTAGGTTGCAAAATACTCTTAACATACTTCAAAAATTAAAAAACAAAACAGGAATAAATACCCCAGTTAATAAAAGTCAGGGATAAAGATAAGGCATCTGCTTTCCAATACCTGTATCAAAAACAATAGCAGTCAAAGTTATGAGTTATCTAATACAAACCATCAATCTGGGAGAAAGCCATGGAAAGTAAATGATTCTTGAGGGCTTTCTCAAAGGCTTGGCATTTTCAATTGCAAATGCTTTTCAGAGATGCATTTGGCAGGAGCCAGGGCAAAAAAAGTTTTTTTTCTTCAAATCTAGTGAGCTGACTGTTCCTCAGAAGCAGATAACCAAGAAGGAGCAACCCTTACAAACCAAGCAAGTGTGGCTCCAAGCAGTCCTCCAATTCACTAAGCTACTTAATGCATAGTTTAAAACATAAATGAGAAATGGATAGTCAATGCAACTGAGAATATACTGTAAGTGTTCGTACCAATACTCAGATGCCATATTCTGTTCCAACTACCATGTCCAAACCATAAAGACAGCACTGCAGGAATAATGCATGGATATCACTAGTGGATGAATATTTATTTATTTATTTATATTCCAAATTTGTCACCGCCCATCTCACTACGGGGTGACATATGAATATGAATGAATAAGTGACACAAAGTCAAACTTCTTCATGATACACCCGTGTAAACAGATAAAAAGCACTTCTTCCTGCCTCTGCTATTTTAAACTTTCCTAGTTATAGAAAATATCCAAGTAGCATACGTGGTGTTTTAAGACAATGGCAACCCAGTTGAACACCACTTCTAGTGGCCAGTTTTCTAAGACTGAATAAAACTTTCTACAAACACTACTTCTTTTATCGTAAACCACCCAGAGCTATCGGGCAATTTAAAAATTGTAATAAATAAATACAATTTAAGAGCTATACAACTTCCCTGGGAAATGGGATACTTTAACCTAAACCTGCTGAAAAAACAAGGAAGATAGAATATTGTGAAACTCCATGGGCTGGAGTTTCCCAGCATCACCTTCTGAGATAGTCCTCTAGGGTAGAGTTAGCTTAGTGCCATATCATCTAAGCCCAGTTTCTGGCAGATCATGGTCCATGGAATCAAGAATGCAAATTTGTACGTAAATCATATATTCCATTATTGAAAGTAACTGGAATATAAATATGGCAATTGTAATTGTACTTACAATTGTACTGGATTAATTTATTCAAAGGGGGGCGGGGGCCATTAAAGTGATATGTTCCACAGTTCTTCTTTTGAGGCAGCATTTGGCCATTGCAGGTCTCAAACACAGCAATTGCAGTAAGTCTTCTGTTCATTCCTCACTCACATACAAGTATTTAAGTGAAGATAGACACCTTTTTCCAGGCTGTTATCCATAGAGGCAAATTTAGAATTAATACAAATAAATAAAACAGAATATTTCTCATCATAGTGAGAAAGACAGTTATGTGGTGATGTGTGTGCTCATTCAGGCTGCTGATAGGCTGATGATGACCAACCTGCTATGGCCCCTACTGTCCAATGCTATAGATCTTCTAGCATTAATCTACACTTGGACGAAAGTGTCCTTCAAATATGGGATGCCTTCAATCAAGGGATTGCCCTCAGGGGTTTTCAAAATGTTCTTTGCAAGAAAAGGATATATATTCACTCTGTTCTCTACTCTATACCATTCCGCTGTAACATGTGTTGGACTAATTTTAGGTTGCCTTTGATTAAAGTTGTATGGTCAGATGAGGGTGGTGTAGCTCTAGCTATTTAAAAATGTCCTCTTGCTCACAGAATAAGCTACTATGAAATATTCCTTAATTTTTGCTACCAACCAGAATTTGAAACAATGGGCTGTTGGTTGCTTATGAATTCTGGCTTATTCTTGGTTCGTTTTTGTGCTTTAGTTCTTCTGGGTACTTGCAGAGTCAACAATTTCCTATAAAGGAATATCATTTTGTCTATAAAATGACTCTGGCTTATTCCTGGCTTGTTCCACAGAATATAAGAAACTCTGGCTTAGTGTTATATACAAAGGTAGCCAACATAATTACCATCTGGGTCTTCATAAAATTAAATTCACTACTGCCAAAAGTTATGCTAGACCCAGGAAAATAGAGTAGGACACATGGTCTCTAAGAACTCTCTCCTGGATACTTGCCAGTATGCGAGAGGAAGCACCAATTAATGATGAGAATGTATTGTGATAGTTTTGTTCAAGACAAGCAACCTCAAATTCAGGTGCTTTTTCTGCCTAGGTTTTGAAATTTAATTTAGGGGCATTTTAAATTTTTTACTTACCTATTTGATTATATTATTTCTATTATACAAGCAAGATTCTTCAAAAAGTAGGTTGGGAAAGACATGCCATCAGGCCAATTATAGTAGATACCTGGGACTTTGTAGTTCAGTGGTCTGACTGATTTCCCTTTCATCTTATTTCCAAACATATTTTCTAGGTTTCTGACCAATTTCAGATCTGGCCTTGCTTAATATCCATCAATTCCATCCTAAATAAGTTTATTCACGAGCAAGTGCCATCAGCATAAACAAGAAAGTGTCTTCAGCTATGCAGCTCATATGAGCAGTTCCAAAGAAAGAAGCAACAGGAACTCCTGTGTGTAAAAATTACAAAATCTAGGGGTGAATTCACAGGATTGGGCCCAAGACATTTTGCTGCCTGAAACAAAGAGAATGATGAGATCTCTCTCCAATCCATGAAAAGACAGAAATCAGATTAGAAGTTGAATTGTAGTTCAACATTGGCAGTTGTATTTCATCATACCTCAGTACAAGGGAATTGTTTAGTGGACACAGGGCAGGCTAAATGGTACACAGACTCATACATCTTGCCATGTCTCTCTGCCTGGCCACATCTATCATCTGAAATGTCCACCTCATTCTGCTAAACGTAGAGCCACCCTTTAGCAGATAGCAGATCAAGTTCTGTTGCTTTTCTTCACTGTTTCACTTCACTAAGAAGATATTTCAAGATGAATGCAAGATCTCTCTATACATTCACCATAAATACAACCCTCCAAACAAAAAAGGGGCTTTGGATGAGGGAATGTGCAAGTCCATTACTTTATACTAAAATATTTTGTTAACTAATGTCAGAAACAAACATGAAAGGCATCTTCTGTGAGATTTCCCTTTTACATCACTCCATGTTCTAAAATTGGTTCTGGAAACCACTCTTGTGCAAATTCTGGTATTTGCTATTTCCTCTATCTGTTGTTCTTTCAGGTAATCACCAGATTATCAAACAAGTCTGCCATCTGTCAGGTATGGATGTCCAGTTTTAATATGAGATTACCTATATAATTAACCCCAAACCCTTTTGAACAAAAAAATGGATGCCATTTCTGGGATCTGCCAGGGATTGAATTTTAAAAGGGGGCCTTATCTCTAATCGATGTGATCAAGCTGGCATGGATAAGTTTGTGTATTTGCATGTCCCATTGCTATCCCTGCATTTGAAGTTTAAACCCTGCATGTTTGCTTGCTGATATATGTGGACATATCTTGATATACAAAACCTTAAGTTTTAATTGGAAGTCTGTCTCATTTCAAAATATTATGTAGTTGTTTGTATATTGTGCATTTTCTAATGTTTACCCTGTGCATTTTCTATACTATATATGGCTGTCAAATTTGAAATATTAGATTTTCCCAGGCTTTTTAAACAAGATATTTTTGATATGTCTTGTTAAAATTAAAATAGCAAGTTCAGAATCTTGGCTGCAACGAGATAAAAAGAACTAATTAAAATTCATGTTAATATTAGAACAAGATAGGACACAAAACATGAGAAACATTTTCAGTGGTATTATGAACATAGCTGAAAATATGCCAAATGGCTTTTTACTCGCAAGACTGATTGCATCAAAGTTGGCTGGATTTGACACACATTTTAAATGATCTAACCAATACTTACAAAAAGAAGTGGGACTATGACTTTGTTCCATGCAGGAGTTTTTGTGTGATTTCCCAGATGAGCCCTAGAAACATTTTATGATTTTCTGTATATAGGCTGTATTTCAAACTGTATTTCAGTAGATTCAACCAGAAAAAGAGGTATTAACTAATCTAGCATGCTGCTTTTTGTCCATAGACAAATCCCCATATTTCAGTACATATACAGAAGACAACAGAGCATTCTGGACATCTTGGTGCTAAATCCTAAATATAGAATTAACGATTTAGGATTAATATTTAGATTTATCAGATCTGGGCTGCAAAATTCCACACCACCAGCAAATGGCAGCAAATGACCAGAGTTTCCCATTTTTCTCTACTGCCCTTTAGTGGTTGCTTGGCATGTTGCAGCTCAGATTCTGAAGTCTTATGTATATTATAATCACCCAATGATGAAAAAAGAAAGACATTAGGCACAGAGGAGTATCAAAAGCTGCCTAACACTGGGTCAAACCCTTAGCCCTTCTAGCCCAAAATTATCAGCACTGATTGGCAAAATTTTCCAGGATTTTTTTTCAGCCCTACCTGGAGATAGCAATGATTTAAACTGGGCTTCCTTCTTGCAAAACATAAGCTCTGTAGTGCTGTGCTTCTAAAATGATTTGGAAGAAGTGCTCTTCTACAAGCAAAAGCCCTCTCTGCTATTCATTAAACCAGCCTGACTTTTTAAAGCTTCCATGCAAACCTGGGGGGAAAAAAAGATGCTGATGTTTTAAGGAATCCAGTCATTAAAGTTAATGCAACTATTAAAACATCAGCACCATGTTTTCAGTCTCATACAGGAGCCGGAAAAGGGTTGATCTGTTTTAATGAACAGCAGAGAGATCACCCATTCACACCTTTATCAAGTCCAAAGTATTTAATTTAGCAGCATCCACAGGGGTGGGGTGGAGTGGGGTGGGGAATCAAAGTTGGCAAGACAGAGTATTGTGTGATGCAAGCTCCACCCTTTTGTATGTGCATCAACATTGCACACTCCACCCACCATATTACCAATTTTGACACTCCTGCAGATGCCATCTATCTAATCCGAATAATTTTCAAACACACAGCCCCTATGCTCTGGTCTGCACATGCTCTCCCTTCTTCTTTCTGATTACTATTACACTCATTCCTAGATTTAACCTGGATACCAGTACTGATTTTTATATTAGCATGCTAATGTATTAGTACACATTAGCAGCTTAAGATGAATTTTGCTGGCTAAAACTAGAAATGAGTTACAGTCTCTTTATTTTTCTGGCTAAATTAATGTTTTGATCTGATTAACATTGTCCCTACCTGATTATCCATAGACATTCTGCTATGGAAAATAAAGTTAGAATTGAACTATAGCGTGCATATATAGATAGAGATGATAGAGCTAGAACTAGAGATATATAGATATAGATTAAAAACAACCCACTGGCTAGTTTTGGATTGGGTTTTAAACTTTTATCCCAAATCCACCTTTTAGCCGTTAAGAAGACTGGAACTGAAAGCCAACTGCTTCTTTAGGGGTAATTGTCATGATCTTTGAACCTAATGAATTTTGTAAGTTACTAGTTGGCACAAAGAAAGAAAGAAAGAAACCTTTGTCACCTTGATTTCCATAAAAATATTCTCATATAAATGTGCTATATAAGGATAGAACAAGCCATCACAAACTATTGCTATAGGGTTTGGTTAACTGCATGTTACTCATCTGAGACAAATGTGGATTATATAAGGAATGGGTACAGCAAATGATACAGAGTAGGTCTAATATTATTGAAAGAACTAGGGTTATATGTGATTTTAAACCAAACTCCATATGTAGCATTATGTTCCTTAACATACAAATGTTTCCATTTTGATTCTTCCATTTCACAATGTCTCTGTTTCAAAAAGTTCTTCATGAATACTCACAAACTGTAATGAGTCTTTCTGCGGTTCAGCACTACTATACTATTTAAATAAGCTACCAACCTTTCTGCAAGGGCTCTCAGTATAGCCTGAAATACAACCAATTGTATTTTTCCTCAAAGAGGCCACTTACCTGCTACTAGCATCATGGAAGATTCTGGTTTATGCTTCCTTTGTTCAGGATATGAAGATCTGGAACATGGAACAGGATTTAAGGGGCTGTTCCAATCATGGAGCAGCTTCTCCGTACCCCCATCCATATTACTTCTTTCTTTAACAATTATATAATGACTACCTCATGTTGCTTCAAATGAAATTCGAGACTGATTAAAAATGTGGGCTATATATTGTTATTCCTCATGTTGGTCTATTTTATGGGATGGAGTTTTTTAGGACACACATTTTCTCTTCAAACTAAGCATTTCTTTGAGCATATGTGCAAAGTTGGTCTGGTGGCATGTGCCAGGGTCTGGTATTGTTGGACATCTAATGAGACCCATTCTCCAGACCGACCTCACTGCCAATATTCCCCTGGCCTGCTATTCATTCTCTTCAGTCTTGCTATTGCCACTTGTCTACCTGTCTCCTGTAAGCAATTGAGTAGTGACAGAAGTAAGTAGGGCAGTTTCTCTTCTTCCTTTCCTCTCTATTTGGGTATATTATGAATCCAGCCCACAGATAACATGGGAATAGGTAAATAAACAATAGCAACAGAAGTGAATTGGATCAGGGCCCACACAATTAAATTGGAGACAGTGCTGCTGTGAAGACAGGATACAAATCTTTAAATTAATAATTAACATTATTATTGAAGATATTAATCTGTCAAAAGGCACTTGGTTTAGTGTGAGCTAAAATTATAGAACATTTCTGGCTAAACACTTTAGCATTTAATTGACTGCATTCTCTTCAAACAGAGAGATGTTTTATATGTACCTAGTAGGATCATTCTTTTAAAAAAATTCAAGAAAATGCAGAATGCCTACAAATGAATCATGGCTGGGAGATTGGTTAGATCGAAGTGGTAATAGCTTAACAGGTGATATGCTTACACAGCAATTAGCTTCCTTTCTTTTGAAATTTTTTTTAATATAAATGATTCACTATTTTAGCCAGACTCCAAAGGAAATGGCAGCATAAATAAAAGACTTCCATCCATTGTGGAGGATGAGGAAGAAGAGGAGGTGCTGGCAGAAGATGAGCCAGCTACTCTTTCTCCAGTCCACACAAGAAACCCAGCCTCCCAACAGAAGAAATCGGGAAGCAATAAAAGCTATCTTGGGATAAACTTGAAACAGTTGGCTTCAGGAACTGTTCCCTTCCACTCGCCCATCCGAGTTTGCAGTGCAACCTCCTCCAGAACCAAGCACGAAACTGAACTCCATTACTATTCCAAGCGGAAAGAGAAGAATTTGAAACTGCATCTTTCGTCACTAAACAGCTTTGTCCCTCCTGACCTCAGCCCTCGGTAAGCATTCGCCAAGCCTTGCTGAAATATACTCCTTCATGTGCCGTTCTTTTTGCATCGCACTAAGCCATTTTTCTATTCCTTGATGTTATTTCCAATGACACTGCTATTTTCACAGGTCTAGAGGATGCAATTTGTTTGTACTTGTTTTTGGCTGCAAGACTGTAGTGGGGAGTATCATTATGCAAATTAAACGGGGGCTGGAACACATACCAGATTGGGCCCAGAATTTATCTGATTATGCCAACAAAATTGACCAATGACCTATTTTATTAATAAGGATAATTGAAGTTCACTGCTCAACTTTGCTGGGCTGGTTGGTAATGCCATGGGTCTTACACAATGGTATGCCTTGAGGCATCACTTATTGAACCTTGCTTTTAAATACCAAGTACCTACAGATTTAACCCACAATGATAGTAATCCAGTTGATTTTATTTATTATTGCTTATTATTGGTTTTATTGTGTTAATGGAAATTTTATAAACTGTTGGGAATCTGGCTGGAGTATAGTAGTCTATAAGAAGGGTTATAGAAAGAGAGAGAGAGGGGAGAGGGAGAGAGATGCCTATAAAGAACTGAGATTTTGATAGCTATGGTAAAACCCAACAACTAAAATCAATATATAAATCCGTACCATATTTAGAAAACGAAGTCAAGAATGCAGTAACAATTGCTTCAGTGTACTCAATATTCGTTTACTTTATTTTGTTTTCAGTATTTTTTTTTAAGAAACTTATTGCAATCTGAAACCGAATGCCCTGAAGATTTTTGTGAATGATTTTCCTATAGAAAAAATATGCCATTGTATATAAAAAGAATATGACAAGCTGCAGACAGCTTTGTTCAGGGGACAAACAGGTACTAGTGGATGAGTATATTCACATGGCTGGTTTTGTCATCCGTAATACACCATGCCCAAAGTTGCTTAATCTTCCTCCCTGTGAGAGAGAAACAAACGAATAGTGCACTGTTAAGTTGTAGCTTCCCTTTCTATCTGAATCCGAAAACAATGGCTAAGCATTTTCAAATAAATTGGAATATAAAGCTGTTGGCTTTCACAGCCAGATTTGTTTAGGAAATCTTCACTTTAGTTTCCATTTCAGACCATACAAAAATCTGTTACCAACTCTGGCTTCCTGACTAATTTTCCTATTCATAACAAAGCAAAGCAATTGCATATGGCTGCATCAAACTAATTAATACCCCAGCTTAAGCCAATTCTTGTTCATTTCCATATGGCCCCATATAACCAGTAATAGCCAAACCGTCATTTGAAGATGTAGTTATAAGTCTTATTGAGCATATATTGGGAAACTCTCTCCAAGCTTTAACTCATGATCTAGCCACATGTAACATTTGCACTGCTCCCAGATTGGCTCCATGCCTAAGTGATGACATGTGGCTATTACCACTAAGTAGCACAGCTGATTAATTTCTGGCACAGCAAGAGCACAGGCGGAAATCACTGCAGGCATCATGCTGCATCTGAAGTATCAGCGCCTGGAAATAAGTTTCCCACTAGCAGTAACTCTTGCTTCATCCCACCTCTTGGCTTTTCTACATTCTCTGGGGTTAAAGTGTACAGTAGTGCATCCATGACCCTTTTTACCCAGTCTTTTAAAGTGAGTCAAGGATGGCCTTCCAGCCCTTTTCACAGCAGCTGGTCATTTTAAAAAGCTACAAAACTAAAAGTAGAACAAAGTTCAGAAGCAAATGTATCATCAGCTGGCTGGTTATATTTTTGGTCTCTGGTCAGCTGATTGGAGCACCAGTCAGGTCACAGTGGTGCAAAAACTGTGGTTTTCAGAACAGGATGCTGTGAATCAGCTTGTAAGGCCTCCAAGAGAGAAAATCATGGGTGCATGCAAGTGTCAAGTTCTATCAGATTGGAAAGCTTCCCTAACTTTTATTGGACAATTTTTTAGCAATCTGTGTAGTTCTTGTTTAAAGTTGTATCTTTCTGAAGCCATGAAAATTACCAAAATTCACCAAAATAAAAAATTAGTTACAGGGCTAACAGAATATATTCCCACTTTCCTGGGCTTTCACTGAGACATGAAATGCAATTTAGGGGGAAATTCATATATGCAAAGTCCACTGAAATTATTAGAAGCTATGAATGAGAATGAGGAGGTACTCCCTTTTTCATTTTAAATTAATTTATATAGCAGAAAATAGCTGTAGTAAGAGATCCCCACTGCTATGTTGCTGAATTTAGCTTAAGACAGATAGGAATTAAAGCAATCGTCCTTAATGGATATTCTGTGACCTGTGTAAATAGTTCAAGAAGTTAATGTTCCATCCTACTGACTATTATGCTATTTTCATTATGCTAGATATATCTGTGAGTACTATATAGTTGCAAGTATAAATAAATGTTTATCAACAGATACATAGTTGCAAAGCTTGCATAAATATTCATCAACAGAGCTTGCTTCAATAAATGATGAAGCCCCCGATTTTGTATCTCATCAGTTTGCATAATCACAGTAGAGCAGGGTTTCTCAACCTTGGCAGCTTTCAGATGGGTGGACATCAACTCCCCGAAATCCCCCCCCCCCCCCCC